TGGGATGCTCTGTAATAAAACAAAAGAATGTAATGTGTCCTCGACCATGCATCCAGTGGTGGACTGTCTGTAACAGGTGTGGAAGCACCAACTTCACTCAATCTGGGCATTTTCATGGTAATCTCAACACTATCTTACAGAAAAATGCCAGGTTTTGCTTTCCATAATTTGTGGCTTCTCTTGATATTTTAAGGAAGAACAGAATGATTTTATATATGCAGATCCTTGAAGCCTTTCCTAACCTGGAATTTTCAAGTTGGAATATATTTAACCAGAAGGAATACATTACAGCACTCTAAGAGAGAGAAAAGTAAAGTTACACGTGTTAGCTAAACTCCATCTTTGTCCTTTTCCTAATCCCAGCATTTAATGGTGCTGTTTCCCACAGCCCCGTCTCCCTGGAAGGTTGGGCAGGCAGGCATGTAGGTAGTTTTTTCATCCATAGAAGAGGTCACCTAACATGAGATTGGGTTTATAGATTATTCGTTAATCTCTGTGGAACTGTATTTTCCAGTATACTTTTCACATCAAATATTCTATCCATAAGTGTTCATATTATTTGTCAGATCGTATATCCTGATTTCTGGTGAGGAAAGAGAGTCATCATAAATGTAAGCCTTATGATCTTGTGTTCAGAGGGCATCTTATAACAGCGGCTTTACCAGGCTTATCAAGGGCTCAGTTACTTCCACCAGTATGATCGGACACCCTGAAGAAGGGCCTAGCAATTGGTTATCAGCCGTAAGCATGATCTATCTGAGGAGAACACTTGGGTGGAGAAATGTTGCTATGTTTTCCAAATTTGAACTTGAGCTGGAGGAGCTGTTTGTGGGACAGTGGTGAGCCAATTCCAAGAAGAAGCTATTAAGCATCCAGGCCTTGAGAGCCAAATTCTCATGATGGACTGGAGAGGAGTCCTGGCGCCATGCCTTCCACACCAGCCTGGCTGGTTGTGAAGAAAACAGCAGAAATTAGAAGCCTTTCTTGGAACTAGCCTTGGAAACATCTAGGCTCTCCTGGAAGCAGGGACTAGGCTCCCACACCTTGTTGGCAGATGCTGTAAGCATGTGTTACTGCTCTATAGACATAGATCATGGAGGCCGAGAACCAGTGTCTTGGGGCATGAGGAGGCATTTAGCAGTGGTGAAGCCCATAGGCTCTGAAGCCAGGCCACCTGGCACTAAACTCCATGCCACCAGCCACCAGCTATTAACTATGGACAGGCCATTGAACCTCTCTAGGACTCACTTTTCTCAACTGTAGAGTGTGATTAATAATAGTACCTACTTCATAGAGTTGTTGCCAGGAGGAAATGGAATAATTTAAGTAGAGTGTTGAGAGCTGCACGTGGCCCATGGTAAGTATTCAGAACATGTTAGTGAGGGTATAGGGGGTTTTAGTGTGCCAGGGAAATCCTTTACCCAATGGCTGAATCCCTACCAATGCATCTCCTCCAAGAGCTTATTGAGTCAAGGTTTGAATGCCTCTGAGGATGGGATGCCTACTACCTCTTAAAGCATCCCACACCACCTTCACATAGGTCTGTTTCTTGAACATATTTGTGTTGAATCTAAATCCATTCTGAATCCTTCCTTGTTGGTCCTAGCTCCATCACTATGGTCATACAGAATTTATCTAACACAGTTTATATCATGTAAAAATTATTGACATCACTCTCCCTACCTACGCTTTTTCCCATTCCATGAGTCTTATCTTTTCCTGACCTTTGAATGTCATGGTTTCAGATTCCTTTGTCATTTCTGTCTTCTGAAAGCAGCCTGTCCTTACAAATGTGATTTACTCCGTGTGCATTGAGTCACTACTGTGCACTGATACAAATATTAGATGAGGCTCCAGGGGCTCTTAGTTAGGCTGGGAATAGCATTCTAGGCAGGGGGAACAACATATGCTGAGATAGGGAGGCATGAAGCCACAGAAGTTCAGACAGTTTGGTATATTATTGGAATTACTGTATAAACTAGAATCAAATGTGGTCAAACTGTGGCATGAGGCAGGTGAATTTCACCTGTAGGTGGTGGGAGTCATTGGAAGACTTCAGCAGGGGAGGAACATGTTCCAATTTGTGCTTTAGTAGACCATTCTAACTGTGGCATGAAGATTGGGCAAAACTGAATGTAGGGAGATTGTTAACCGAATGATGAACACCAAGGGGATGGAGAGGAGGAAAACGAGTCATGGGCCAGAATGTCCAAAAATTATACCAAATGGCTAACAGTGGTTATGTCTGGGCGGTGGGATATGGGTGATTTCTTTCTCCTTTTTGTTTCCCTGAGTTTTCCAATTCCTCTATAATAAGTATTTTCCATTTTTTTCTATATATAGCACATGTTATTTATGTAGTAGAAATAATTTAGTCTAAAATACTTCAGAATCAAACTGGCAGGACTTGATCACTGATGGAAGGAGGAGTCTGAGGGATCAGTCTCCTGATCTGGATACTCAGGTGGGCAGGGTGGCCACCAACCAAGCCCAAACAGGGGCTCTTAGGAATTCTGTGGCATCTCTGTGACTTCCTTTTGGCCTCTTCGCATCCCACTCAGTAGTCTCTGCCTGGGTCCGTGGCACCTGAAACTTCCCGGCCATGCATAGCCCTGCCTGTCTGGCAGACTCATTGCAGCCAAGCCCACCAGAGCTCCATGTCACTCCTTCGGTAGACACTTACCGAGCTGCCGTGTGCTCAGCACCAAGCTAGACTTAGTCATAAAATGGTCAAAGAATGGACAGTGCCGTCTTCACAAAACTCAACCCAATATGAGAGACAGACAAAAATGTTAAAAAATTGTTTAATGAGCATATGATTCCAAATTGAGACTAGTGCTCCAAAGGAAGGAAATATTTCCAAGAGGACATGTAAGAAAGGAAACTTCTTTGGTCTGGGAGATTGGGGAAGGATCCCTGGGAAGAGAGTCGCTTGGGCTGAGAGCCAAAGGGTTAAGTAGGAGGAAATATTGGAAAAGCGGTCCAGCTGAGGGAACAAACAGCATTTGTGGCCACTCGGTAGTGGGAGGAAGTATGGCTTGTTTGAGTCTAAAAGAAAAGTTGTCTAACCAGGAGTCCTAAGAGCGAGTGGCAGGAGATGGAAGTGGGGGGAGAGGTGTGCCGGTTGACCCTCTGGGGCCTTATAGGGCATGAGAAGGATTTCAGAATTTATTCTAAGAGAAGACCCTCTGACTGTGGCACAGAATAGAGTTTCCTATCCTGTGTCTCCTACCATTTTCTTGCCATCTGAGACCGTGGCACTGGAGGCCTGATAACAAAGGCCCCTCCTTGCAGCAGACATCCCTGAAAGTTGCTTTGCAGTTCAGTTTTCAACTTTCTTATGACTTCGCATACTTTATCACTAATGTGTGTACAACGTGCTAAGTAATGGAATCATTGGGATCTGAAACATCTCGTTCTAATGGGAGGCTGCAAATTAATTCCCAGGTGAAATGATTCCACCTTTTCTCTTCCTTTATTTATTTTTTCTCTCCCAGCTTGGCTGTAGCTGTGGAGAATTCCCTTAGTTAGGCTTGTGAAGACCTCCACCAGATCACAAAGTGCCAGTGACCCGCTGCGGTCTGGGGAGCGGGAGACCCAGGCTTTGTTCACCCAGGGAGGAGGGCGGTGGGTAAATACAGAGGGAAGTTCCAAATACTTAGAAAAGTGGGGCGATGTCCAATGTCCATGGTGAGTGGGGAAGTCAGACAGCGACACTGGGGTGTGATTCAGAGGTGGGGGTCCTATCATACCTGTGTGAGAGGCGGCCCACAGAAGATTTCTGCACAGCTGGCCTAGATGTAAGGCAGGCGAGCCTGCCCTTCCCCCACATCTCTCCTAGGATGGGGAGACTTGGTGCGCTCATGTTGGCAGAAGCTTTCCTAGGACTAATCTGGGGTGACTTGCCAGGTGACCACCTCTTGGGCATTTGCAAATGAAAACTTGCCACATCCCCTTTAAACAAGGAGCATTCTTGGTGTGTTATTTGTGCTTGTGCTTATAAGTAAGGGGGTCCTTCTCCCCTTAAGTCAACAGTACAAACCTATAGCCCTTGGGGTGCACTGACAAGACCCATGTGCTAAATAGTTTTCCATTTACTCTTCTTTTCCCTTGAAGGGATCTGGGTACCTTAGTTTTTTTATTGTGGAGATAGATAGATAGATAGATAGATAGATAGATAGATAGATATAAATTTACCATTTAACCATTTTTAAGTGTACAGTTCAGTGACACTAAGTCCATTAACATTGTGCAGCCACCACCATCATCCATCCCTAGAACTTTTTTCATTTTCTCAAATGGAAATCCAATACCCATTAAACACAGACTTTCAATGGGGTTTTTGAATGAAAGGCTATAATGTTCTTCAGACTTGGGTCCTGAGGGAAGGTGGCCTCGTGAGAAATCTGTAGGAAGAGAAGTCCACCCATGTAATCCAGAGAAGGTGCCCTCAAAGCTACTTCCTCAGCCCTCTCACGGAGGTCTCACCGCCCAGAGGTATCCCAGGGTGTGAATCAGTTTCAGCAAAGGAAGCCCCACCCCCTTGATGCCCTACTACCAGGCCAATCTGTTTTAGAGCATATGGGTCAGCCATAGTCTCTTGAGCGATCACCATGTCCTTGCATGGCTGCCTCTAGTCAAAGTGAGGCTCCCTGTAGGGAGTCGCTGCTCCAGGAGAAGAAGAGGGTAGGTTGTCTCTAAGATGGGGTGTTAGGAAACTGCATAATTCTGGGTGAAACAACATGTTCTTCCCCTTGGATGGATAGCCCTGCTAGTCCTTTCATTTGGATTTAGCTCCAGAGAGATTTGGAGTCAGGCCAGCCCGGGTGTCATTGCTCTGTCACTCAGTTTCTTCATCTAAAAAAGGGGGCTCATAGTGCAAGGAGTATGCTAAGAAGGTGGCATGAGATCATGTCAGTATGGCATCCAAGACAGCACATGATTCAATAATGGAAGCTGGTGTTCTCACTATTGTCACTGTCTATGATTTGTCATTGTAGGTCTCCAGGTGGTTCTGAATTCCATCATCAAGGCCATGGTTCCCCTGCTGCACATCGCCCTGCTAGTGCTGTTTGTCATCATTATCTATGCTATCATTGGCCTGGAACTCTTCATGGGGAAAATGCATAAGACCTGCTACAACCAGGAGGGCATAGCAGGTAAGGGAAGATGCTGACTGGCCAGCTGTCAAGAAGCTTTACTGTGTTTGTCTCTACTTTTCATTCAGCCAGGGACACTGCCTCCACCTGACCAGCAGTGCCCAGGAAGGCCTCCATTCCAGGGCTCATTTCCAAACCATGGTTAAGGGAGAGGCAGAGATTGGTTGTCTTTTTCTCTTGATAATTTTTGTTTTTACTAAAATAGATCTCGGTTACAAATAGCTAAATGCAAGCTTTGTGCAGCACTACTCAACACTGTTTAAATGAGCTGTGCGATTTGAGAAACATCTCTTAGCCAACCTTGAATATTTTATTTTATTTTTTTAATATATTTTATTGATTTTTTACAGAGAGGAAGGGAGAGGGATAGAGAGTTAGAAACATCGATGAGAGAGAAACATCGATCAGCTGCCTCTTGCACGCCCCCTACTGGGGATGTGCCCGCAACCAAAGTACATGCCCTTGACCGGAATCGAACCTGGGACCCTGAGCCAAACCGGTTAGGGCTTGAATATTTTAATTTAAGAATCAGAATTAACCTAAGGATGTAGATCTATGCTCTGTCGGTTCTTCAGTGTTGCTGGCCATCAAAAGTCCTTTCAGGAAGGTGGCATTGCCTGTCACCAGCAGGTTGGGTGTTCGGGCTGATCCTGGCTCCTCTGCTTCTCCATTCCTAGGCAGAACCCCGGCCCTGTCTCATGTTGGGAGGAGGTCGGCCAGTGGTGAAACCTCTTTTCCTCCAGGAGAAGGTTTCGCTCTACCTCATGACTTCTTAGTCCTTTCCTTTTTGAGAACTTCGCTCTTGTGTTCCTTCCATAAATCAATCTATTTAACAAGCAATGCTGGCTCATTAAGCATTTCCTTGAGTAGATCTAGAGTTTCGGCCTGAGGAGTATGCTACAACTACTGTCTTAAGTTACTAAAATCTCAACTTGACATTAAAAAAAAACATTCAAACAGAAATTGACAAGGCTTTTTAACAGACATATAAGGTAGTTCAACATAAGAACTTGTTGAAAAATACCCCCAAGGGGTTAGTAGTGTTAAACTTTCATGATTTGTTATTTTTCCATAACAACATCATTCATCTTAGTTTTTGGCATCTTGATAAGGAAAGGGGAACATGTCTGAAGCATTAAAGGATTGTGCACGTCTCTCAATCTACTGCCCCTCATTTCTATCAGCCCAGAATTAATCCCGTGTGACCCCTCTTGCTTTGGGGGCTGACCTACAACAGGGAGTAAAATGGATTATTCATATTCAGAAACCGAAATGGGTTGCAGATTCTGGATGATCTGATTTGATTGGCTATATTGGGTATTTGCAAGGTCGCTGCCATATGGCCACAGTCCCTAAACAAACAAAAAGCTATAAATCCATAAGCACAGTCTCACACAATGGTTTTTACTTTTTTGATGGAGAGTGTTTAATAGGAGACCATTTTTTCACTCTAGAGAGAATTTCCAAATTACTGGGACCATAATTGTATAAAATAAACTATCATGTTAAATAACACAGAAGCCCTTTAGTATTGGAACAAACAGGCTTGCCTTTAGCTAAAATTCTGAGGTTTCAGCCTTGCCTAAAAAAATACCAAATAATGCAATGAATAATATTTTCCCCTTGAATTCAAATCCTTCCTTATGTTCAGTTTAATCTGTAGCTAGCCCCAGGCCAGTCAATTTATATTAATTCTGTGGCTTTGTTAGAGCTCATTGTGAGTCCTACTTAAGAGCTACTGTAGTATGTCTAAAGTTTATGCACTTGTACTAGTATTGAAGTGATCAATGACCTGTTTGGCCCAAACTTCGCAGGCAGTCACTGGGATGTTGAGTCTCAAAGATCCCCATCAATTCAGCAGTGGATGCTGGTGTGGCTCTCGCTAACCGCATATCAAATGGGAAAGAGTGAAATGGTAAAGTCCTGCCAAAAAGCCAAAGATGGCAGTCCTGCCCTGTGCACCGCTGAGCTACAGGGCACTGTTCCCAACACTGCACATGGCTCCTATCATCCTGCTGGGAAAGTGTGTTTTCTACTGGTGGCAGGGTCCTGTAAGGGCCTGTGCTACTAAGCAACCCTGAATATTAGTTGGAAGTCACTGGGCTTTGTTGAGGCCTGCAGTAGCCTCACATGGCAGGAAATGGTGGGCATGATAGACCAGGGAGAGACAGGATAGGATACTCTGCCCCGTGCAGCTGGACAGTCTGGTGAAATAGCCCCTCAGGCCTGCTCAAAGTTTTAGTGGCCTCCTTGCTTTTAGGATAAAGACCTGAACTGGCCTTACCAATTGCAGTGGCCAATTTAGGGCCATATTATTGTCCATCCTCAATAGTAATCAGGACCAGGAAAAGTACCCAAGACATTGCCTACTTCCTACCAGGGATGCATCAGATTATTTATGTGGTGGGTTTTACCTTCACCCCCAAGTTCACAAGGGAAGGTAGCTCCCATCACGGAAATGACCATCAGCCCTGGGAGCCAGTTTGTCAGAGGACAGACACCAAAGAAGCGCTTCTGAGAGGGGAGCCATGCGAGCTCCACCGGAAGGTGACCTTGCTCTCCATGTGGAGCCAGACTTCCTGCTGGGGAGAGGACAGAGGACATGTGGCTGCAGGAGCCTTTCCTCCCAATACTGCAATCAGAGCTCACACACCTCCTCTTTCTGATCCTGCTGTCTGATGACAAACCCTGGGACCCACTCCATCCATCTCTCCCAACAGAACATGACACAGCTGTCCTCAGGGCCTCTCTCACCCATAGTGACGAACCCTGATGAGGAGGGAACATGTACAGGAATCTGGACATACTTGATGCTGCCAGAGTAGAAAACCAACCCTGCAGTCTTTGAAACCAATCTCATGTGTTTTCGAGAGTTTCATGCCAGTCTTTGGATTGAATTACCATGTTTTCTGCAAACTTAGATTATCAGAAGTGTTTGTGAGCCCTTGTTAAAATATTTAATGGGTCCGGTCAGTGTGGCTCAGTGGTTTAGCATTGACCCATGAACCAGGGGTTCACAGTTCCATTCCCAGTCAAGGCATATGCCTGGATTGGGCTCAGTCCCAGGTGGAGGAGTGGGGTTGCGGGAGGCAGCCAATCAATGATTCTCTCTCATCATTGATGTGTCTATCTCTCTCCCTCTACCTTCCTTTCTCTGAAATCAATAAAAACATATCTTTAAAAAAGAAAAAAGAATTGTTAATGGGATTTACATCCAATTCTTCTTTTTACATTTTGAGTTTCTTTTTCAGACTGAATTTTATGTGCTTGTAAATTTTAGAATACATTGGATTTTGAGCCAAATATATAAAGAAGCTCTGGAGCCGGCCAGGCGAACCGTTATTCTGCCTCTAGGATGCCCCCGCCAGTTCCCGGGAGAGGTGGCCTCAAGAGAGACAATGTTCCTCCAGTCCCTGAGGCACCTGGCAGGCGCCCCCCAGGCTCCTCCGCAGGTGCACCAGCATATGCTGGCTCCTTTTGTTTCTGGCGTCCCATCTGTTTGATGGTGCTCGGAGCCAGGTCACTCTGAATGGCTCTCCCAAACACAATAATTACCCCAGAGACTGGCAAAGAATGGGTTGGCTAAAACCTAGAAATGAAATCATTTTCATTCTATTCACTCCTTAAAATTGGGGCCTAAAAAAGTAATTGGTCTTGTCTCTGGTATTTCTCCTTGGAACCCCTAACTGGCACTGTCCCAGGGTTTCATGCTCCTGTTGGTATTAACCGCTTTTTAAAAATCTCTCATAATCTGGCCTCCATTAGTTTACTTCGAACTTAATTTGGACTTTCCAGAATGACTTTACCACGCTTCACCCACATTGCTTTGTTTTTTCCTCCTCCCTCGTGCCCACCCCGCCTCACCGGGACTTCATGACCGCCCCCCCCCCCCCCCAGAGGAAAACCAACACATTTTCCCATTAGATCTCATTTCCCCTCACCCTCCAGATCACGTCACAGGACCTGCTGATTTGTGTGTTCACATTTTTCAAGTGCTCCCTTTACTGCTTTTTATAGATATCTATTTTTACCAGATCATCACTGCTTCTTAATTGTTCTCATATCTTTCTTTTTTTTCTGTTGTTCAAGACAGACTTAAATCAAAATAGCAGAGTGGCCCTTGAGCTTTTAGATGATCTTTCTGAATCTCAACCCTTTCTCTTTTAGTAATGAGATCATTTCCCCTTCGTGCTATTTCTTTTCAACATACATTTGTAAAACCCCAAACTGTGTTTTTCTTTCTTGAGGACACTCAGAACTCGCTTTCCTTATTTCTGCTTATTTCAGGGGTTGAGAATACAAGAAAAGCTGTCAGATTGGCAACCACAGTGCAAAGATTAATACTATCTTAATTGCACTAAAAAGCAAAACGGGAAAAGGAGATGCAAAATTTCCCTCTATTTTTCCTTCTCTTTCCATCCCATCTCTCATATTATTCCAGCCCTTTCATAGCAGAGACTGAACATGTTCTAGGAAGCCATCACTAGCATGGGCAAGAACACAGCTGAGTTTATGATCTATTCAGTCTCTCAACTCTCATTTTTTTACATACTTATTATCCACTTTTTCTTTAACTTTCCGGTTTCTTTAACTTTTCAGTTCCCCTCCTTTCATACCCTCCCCTTGTTTAAGCTCACATTCAAATCTCCAAGGATTTCGAAATTTGAAGTCACAAAAAATTGACTGGATTTCAGCTGTATGAACAGAGCGCCCTGGGAGCCAGCGTCCGGAGTGGGAAATGATGAGGACACTCATTTTCTGAGACAGCTCAGGGACCAGTGATGCAGACCTCTTCACCTGGGTCATGTCACAGACACCCACGTACAGACTAAAGCACCAGGCCAAGAATAAGCCAGAAGTAGCACTATTCACAATAGCCCAAACCTGGAAACAATCCAAATGCCCATCAGCTAGCAGTGGTCGGCAAACTCATTAGTCAACAGAGCCAAATATCAACAATACAACGATTGAAATTTTTTTAAGAACCAAATTTTTTAAACTTAAACTATATAGGTAGGTCCATTGTTATTAACTTAATTAGGGTGCTCCTAAGGCTTAGGAAGAGCCACACTCAAGGGGCCAAAGAGCCGCATGTGGCTCGCGAGCCGCAGTTTGCCGACCACGGAGCTAGTGGATAAACAGACAGTGAAATGAACATGTATATGCAATTTCTAGAGAGGCAAGCTATAGAGATGGAGTGCAGACCAGGTTGGTAGGGAGGAGCAGGGACTGACTGCAAACAGGCACACGGGACTTTTGGAGGAGGATGGAAGTGTTTTAAAATGAATTGTGGTGATGGCTGCACAACTATGTAAATTTACTAAAAATAATTGAGCTGTGCATTTACATTCATGGACTGGAAGAAATGTAAATTATATTTCAATAAAGTAACTAAAAAGAGAGGGAGAAAAGAAAAAAAAAGCCAAGAAGACACAATCCAGCATATATTTCCAGCCATGCTGCTCAACTCCATTCTCTTAAGAATTATCTTAGTTATGGATTACTATTCTCTTCCTGTCTTCCTTTTGGGAGTGAAATTTCTAATTTGAAGCCACAAACCAAGAAACAACCAACCAGCCATCTTCAATACTGAAGTACTAGACACTGTGATTGTTTTGATACATATGGAAATCTCTAAATGAAGAACTGCAAGTAAATTCACTCTCTGGGACCATATTTTCCCTGTTGTCAGAAGCAATCATTTGGTTGTTAAGTCTACCCTGCTTATTGCTGTTACTTTCTGCAAGCATGAGACAATGTCCTTAAGTTCACACGATTACCTTCCTCAGCTGGGGCCAAGCCTTTCTCAGCATTTCTCTATTCTTTTACTACAATAGAAATTCTTAAATAAATCAAGTCTTATTTCAAACGACTAATGATCTCTGCACCAAAAATATAAACCTCGTCTTAATGTATTGGTTTTTAGCAGCTGTTCCCAGCATGTGGAATTAGCCTGAGCATTGTCTGTAGCCACAGATGTTAAACTGTTTTCTGAAAAAGCCCTGTCCACACCTACTGAGTATTCTCCCTGTCACCCACTGCCCCTCTATCTTGAGTAGAGGTCAGAAAACGATTCTTTTCTTCTGAAAGGTAGGAATGCTGGTGAGCAAGGGCAGCGGTGCAAGGTTCCACTTGACCTGCGTAAAACACAGGCCACAGCGGTGCGCTCAGGTTATAATAAAGGCGGCTGCAGGCGGTCCTCTCCCTGCAGTCAGGGTTCACTTATCCTTCACCGAGGTAAGGCTTGCACCACAGAGTGACTTGCATCCCTGCTGATGCATCATGTAACACCTTATGGACTCTCCTATAGTCTCAAAGTGCGACGGGATGGGATCTGTTGGCTAATTATGTGGAATAGTCTTCCAGTCAACACGCTCTCACTTGAAACTCTGCTATTTCGATGGAAATAGCCCCAAAATAAGAAAACATGGACTTCCTTCATTTTCCAGGATACCTTCCACTCAGAGTGGTTCCATCATCATTTTCTGATTGACCATTTGACTATGATGCTGATGTGCTACAACAGAATGTGCCATGTCCCTACTGTCTTTGAAATCGATTACTGGGCTTAAAATGACATTTTTCAACAATTGGTTGAAGTACTAACATTCTAAACCAGTGATGGCGAACCTATGACACGCGTGTCAGAGGTGACACGCGAACTCATTTTTTTGGTTAATTTTTCTTTGTTAAATGGCATTTAAATATATAAAATAAATATCAAAAATAAAAGTCTTTGTTTTACTATGGTTGCAAATATCAAAAAATTTCTATATGTGACACGGCACCAGAGTTAAGTTAGGATTTTTCAAAATGCTGACACGCCGAGCTCAAAAGGTTCGCCATCACTGTTCTAAACCAACAGCCTAAATGAATACCTAGTTCCTTATGTTGTTTTAATTCATATACAGGGGACAAATGAAAACTTTTTTTCCCCATTACCATTGTGTGGTGGTTTTGCCTATCCCATCAATCTTATCTTGTAACTTTCCTCTCTGACTTGCCAATTTTTTTTCTCTGCCCATCTCTCCCTCCCTTCTGCCCATCTCCCCTCCCTCTATGTGTCCCCACCTTGTGCATCCCCCTCCCCTCTGTGTGCCCCCTCTGTGCATCCCCTCCCCTCTATGCATCCCCTCCCCTCTGTGCATCTCCCCCCCTCTCCATCCATCCCTCTCTCCTCTGTACATCCCACGCTCTGTGAATCCCCCTCCACTCTATGCATCCCCCCCTCTGTGCATCCCCTCTCTGTGCATCTCCCCCTCTCTGTGCATCTCCCCCGCTCTGTGCATCTCCCCCCATTGTGTATCCCCCTCCCCTCTGTGCATCTCCGCCCTTTATGTGTTCCCCCCTGGCCATTTGAGATGTTCCAGCGGAAGATGATCCCTCCCCTTGTGCTCTGGAGACAGGCCATGGACGGCAGTGTCAGAATGGCACTGTGTGCAAGCCTGGGTGGGATGGGCCCAGGCACGGCATCACCAACTTCGACAACTTCGCCTTCGCCATGCTCACGGTGTTCCAGTGCATCACCATGGAAGGCTGGACAGACGTGCTATACTGGGTACGTAGCTTGCGATGGGCAGCGGCAGGGAGTCCGGAAAGCTTCAAGGCTTCCTTCCCTTGACATCTCCCTTGTTTACCTCCCACGACTTTGATGAAGAGGCTGATGAATGTCTTTGATTTCTTTCAGGCCTTTCCTGAGAGACAAAGCAAACACTCACACTCCCTGTGACAAGTCTCTCTTTGCCACCAGCCTCAGGGAAATGCCACCTTTCAGTGTGTGCTACGCTTTTCTAGTAAGAAACATGGCAGGCATAACACAGGATCCCATTCACTCCTCTCCCACTATTGGGTTTTTCTCTTCCTACTATTGTCTTGCCTCTGTCCCCAAAATATACATCATTTATAATTTTTAGACAGATTGTTTATAATTAAAGAGAAACATCAGGCCTGGTCTTCTAAAAAGAAGCCATTTTAAAAAATATATATATTTATTGATTTCAGAGAGGAAGGGAGAAGAGAGAGATGAAAACATCAATGATGAGAAAGAATCATTGATTGGTGGCCTCCTGCACACCCTACACTGGGGATCGAGCCCACCACCCTGCCATGTGCCCTGACCAGGAATCAAACCGTGACTTGGTCAACGCCCAATCACTGAGCCACACCGGCCAGGCAGAAGTCATTTTTATTGAATGGTGTAGCGTTACAGCATGCTATTATATTCTTATTTTTTATAGTAATCTTACCTATCATATGAAAATAGTCCAGACAAAAACATTGCTGGCTTTCTTAGTGGTAACGAAACACGCTGGTGCTTATGTAATGCATATTTAGAAACTATACTTCTTAAGTGTCAGCCAGTCGACAGCAAATCTTTAAAAATCTTTTGCCCCTTTCCTTGTCTATCAGCCAACACTACTTTGCCACCTTTGAGCCACTGATAGGGATTTTGGTGCAGCCTATCCCACAGGCAAATACACACATCATGTTTGAGCGGTCTCCATTTGGCAGAGTTAAATCCATTATTTGTAAAAACTCCAGGAAACATAATTCTTTATAGTATCTCCTATTTTAGCAGGAAATGATTCACCAGAATCCAGGGTTGTTCTCCAACATTTGAGTGAAAATGCTTGTTCCATTCTTGAAAATACCATCTCACCTAGCATTTTGCAAACAGTCATATGTATTTGGCCATCCTGAAAGCCATGTGAGAGCCTGCTTAAGGAACAGTGTCTGCACACTAAAGCATGGAAGAGGGGTGATGCCTCCCCATCAAGCAGAGCTGCCAGACAGGCAGGAACTAATGCCATGAGGGGTGCTAACCTCTTTCTGAATCAGAAAAGTTTGTAGCAACATGGAGATGTGATATAGGGTATTGTATCCTCTAAATTTTTTATAAGCATCATGTTCTATTGATTTAAAACCTCGTTTCCCCAGTGTTTTTATGTTGTAGTGGACATGCTGAAACCCAGTGTTGCTATGAAATTGCACCTCACTACAAATGACTACTTGAAACTTGCCTGAGCACCTTGTACCTAGCAAACATTTACTGAGCATTCCTTGCATGTCAGGGGTGCCCCTACGGACTGAGAATTCAGACTGAAAAACATCCAGTTCAGACTGAAAAGCTCAGTCTAGGGCAGTGATGGCGAACCTTTTGAGCTCTGTGTGCCAGCATTTTGGAAAACCCTAACTTAACTCTGGTGCCGTGTCACATATAGAAATTTTTTGATATTTGCAACCATAGTAAAACAAAGACTTATATTTTTGATATTTATTTTATATACTTAAATTCCATTTAACAAAGAAAAATCAAGCAAAAAAATGAGTTCGCGTGTCACCTCTGACACGCGTGTCATAGGTTCGCCATCACTGGTCTAAGGAAACACTAAATTTCAACTGAATGATGGCTACACAACCAGAACACGTTCTGGGAAAGTTGCTGTGTTGTCATACTTTCAAAAGAAGATGAAGGCCAAATCAACCCTTCCTCAAACTAAAATGAAACTTTGAAAATATTTTCTAAGGCCCATATTGAATAAAAACTGATTTTAAATGATTTGTACAAAGAGAGGGATTGAACTTATTATACTTAGGCAAATTTATTTCACTTAGCAAAGTTGATCAAATTCCCAAGTGGTCCTAAGGACAGAAGCATCCTTTTTCAGATGGGCAGTTTGGAACTGTGTATGGAATGGTGCCTTGGAGCCTCATCAGGTGGAGCTTCAAATCCATGCCTTAAGTTGCTATGGAAACACCTTTAATGGCAGCAACTTGAGGGCAGGGTAGTGGTGGGTGAGTGTGGGGTTGAGGGGAATAGGTATAATTTACTTTGCTAATGGCCCTGATGTATTTTTGTGATCTTCCTTCATTGCTTCCCCCCTCTCCCCAACCACAACTCACTGATACCCCACCAGCCAGATGTGACCCAAAGAAATACTATCGTGATGACAACGGAGTAGGGAATGAGAACAAGCACACAAATGCAACTACCAATTTTCAGCAGCTGTGTTGTGCTTTCTCCCCTGGGGTGTGTGTGATAGAGCTCAGGCTGGAAATGGAAAAAGTGTCAGAGGTGAAGAAACAATCCCAGGCTCATGGGACATGCCTCTCTGATTTTCCCAGCACCTTTTTGAAATGGCCATGTTATGTGTGTTTGTGTGTATGTGTGACTGTGTGTGGGGGTCACACACACACACACCACCTAAAGCTGAAACAGAGCCTCGTACTTGGGTATTCATGATGGAGGCACCTCCCAGCCCAAAGCTCCTGGCTTTCAGATAATTTCTCTGATTGCTTTGACCTTCCTATGGCCATTTCTTTCTTCCTTCCTTCTTTCTATTTTTCCCTCTTTCTTCCTTCTTCTTGAGAATTCCTCCTCCTTGCCTCTAGGCTGTATCTCTAAACCCACAGACTCTCAAATCTCAATGTGCTTTAGTATAACATGGAGCTTTCTAAAATAAAGATGCCAAGACTTCCCTCAAGCCATTGGATTGGAAGCTCCAAGTTAGACCCAAGTATCTGCATTTTTTAAGCTCCCCATGTGATTCTGATGCTCAAGCTGGAGTTTGAAAACCCCTAGAAGTCTAAACTATTGAATTTGAATGGTGCTGTTTTGGTGCCCTGAATTTGAACCAGTCTAGGGAGATAGTTTCCATAGTAATTGGGGAAGTAGGGTCTTCTACTCAGAAGAATGCATTTCTCTTAAAGTCCAAGGGACAAGTCTAGAGGACATGGGAGGGAGCAACCCAGATTTTCAAGTATGGCAGTGAATGGAGACCCCAGGGCTGGGTTCCTTCTGAACCACCAAACAGCAGGGAGAGACTAGATCATTGCAGCACTAAAGAAGCCAATGATTCAATCACTAGATACCACCTTGGATAGAAGGGAGTTAGAAGGTCACCAGTAGCATACAGTAGGCACCTGCCTTCTGCTATGGAAGATACTGAGTCTATTTCTCCTTTTCTCTGACATTCATTATTTTATCTCGTTGTTGTGATTTTGAAGAGTTAGTGCACTCAAAGTAAGATCAAACTTGAATATTTCCTCAGCTATTGAACTTTGGCCATACACTAGGTCAAGACCCCAACTAGCTGAACAATTAGCTTAAAACATTTCCTGTACCTAGTGCCCCGTTCTAGAGGTTTGTAGGTGGCTGGGTATGGGGATTTGGAAACTAAGACAAAACTCAGGTGTGTGTTTAGGGGTGTGGTTTCCTTGGGCAATGGCTTCTTAAGCCAAAGCCTCTCCGTTTCCTCCCAGAATGTTCACACCTCTTATGGACTTGGGTGGGAGGGGAGAGGACGGTGATCACATAAAAAGTGCGGCAGGGAGGAATTTAGGGCTGTATGGTATGACCATTGGTTTCTGATTCTACTTCCAGGTGTGTTTGGTTTTTTTAACCTAATGTCCCTAGCCTTCTGCATATAATTCAAGACTACTTTCCTTATATGGTTTAGCCAAGTGCCTTCCTGAAGATATAAGAGGCTGCCAGATCAAGATGATCTGCAGGGTTCTCCTATTAGGGTCAATTTGAAACGCTGAGCATTATCCCTTCCACATTGTAGCCAGGGCACGATTAAATAGATAAATATCAATCAGTTATCTGCTCAATGCTGACTTTGTGCCCAGCACTTGAAATAGCTCCATCCATGCTCATGGCACACAGAATAACGTGGCCACTGAACTGGAGTTTGGAATCCTCAGAGAAGGCCACGTGTGAGAATTGTCCAAAAGGGAGGCAGCAGTGAGAGCAGGCACCACAGAAGATTACAGAATAATTCTTCATCAAGAAGATGATGTTGACTTCTGCTCCCCCAAAGCCCTTCTGATCTAGGGCCCCTAAGAATATGGCAGACTGTGGGCACAGTAGAAAGCACTCTGGTCTATGTTTTCCAGACTCCTGCTCCTCCCCACCCTGCCACCATTGGGGTCACCATTACCCACCACCCATTGCCCCATCCACTGGTTTCTCCATGATCAGTGCTTCCACTGATTTAAAAATATTAGCAATTGTGCTTTAAAATAAGATTAGAAAGAATACTTAGTGAGAAATCATGTAAAGGAAATATTTTAGAATCACAAAGAGTGTCTTCTGTAGGGTCTGGATTAGTTTGGGTTCAGCAGGAGACCTTGGGAACAAGTAGCACGTTTTGAATTTTCACAAGTCAGTTGTTGACACTGCACTCTGTCTTGTCATTCCAGTACATGTCTGCACATGCTGGGAAGATATTCCTACTGATATCTCATCTCTGGTCTCAGTGCTGCTGAAACACCCCTGTTTATGACAAAGGCCTTTTGCATTCAGGCAGGTTGTAACTCAGGTTTTACTCTGTTTTTCTCCCCTCCTCCATGGTTTCTTCAAAAGGCCACCTCTTTTCACTAAATATAGAAACTGAGTCTCTGAAGGCATCAGGAAAGCTGAAAGGTGGAGCTGGATTCTCTTGATGACCTAGCAGTCATTCTAAGTCAAGAGTTGAGAAAAAAATCCTCCAGTGACCCATAAACAGCATTCTCGGTTCTAACAGGTACCAGAGTAGAGAAGGTGGTAGGTCCTAC